AAAAAAAATTAAAAAAAAAAAAAAAAAATTTTTTTTTTTTTTTTTTTTTTTTGTATTATACGTATATTTTATCTTGTTTATGAACCTTTACTATTATTATTTATTTCTCTTTCTATTATTTCTTGTTTTACTTTCCCATCTTTATATGTAATAATTTTAGTAGTTTTTTCAATTATTTTATTTCCTTTTGGTATTATTTCTGTCTTTATATTTGTTTCTACAAATGTAAAGAAAAAGAAATATTAAAAAAGTTAAAAAAATATAAAGTATTGGAAAATATAAAAAATATTATTACGTTTGATATTTTCACTGTTATTATTCCCATAGGATTCTACAAAAAAAAAAAAAAAAAATAAAATAAAATTATAATAAAATTAAAATAAAATTAATATTGGAATAAGGATAAAAAAAAATTTCGAATATTACCAAATGATCCTAAATTACTAAAAATGTCATTTTGCATTGTTCTAGTTCTAAAGTTATTCTATTTAAAAAAAAAGAAAAAAAAAAATCAAGTTGTATAACTATATAATTGTATATATAAAATATTTCGATATAAATTTTGCGTCTTTTTAATTATTTATGTAATATAAATATGATGTTAATTTTAAAATTTTTTTTGTATATTTTTGTAAATTGACAATTGTGTATTTATATATATCTTAATAATTTTTTTTTTTTTTTTTTTTTTTATACTTCATTAAAAATATTAGATTTAAAAATATCGTTTAAGTTAATATTTCCAAATACATTTTTAAAAACATTTTCTATTTCTTCATCACTCATTCTCCTAGTTTGATAATTATAATTCATATTATTAGTTGCATTTGAATAATTATTAAAGCTGTTAGAATAAAATCCATTATTTAATTGACTATCATAAATTCTTTTCTTATTGTCATCACTTAAAGTTTCATAAGCTTCTGTTATTTCGCGGAATTTTTTTTCTGATTCTTTTCTATTATTTGGATTTCTATCAGGATGATATTTTAACGCCAATTTTCTATATGCTTGTTTTATTTCATTTTTGCTACTAGTTTTTTTAACATTTAATATATCATAAAAATTTTTACTTGAAAAATGCCTTAAAGAAATTTTTGAAAAGAAATATTTAGTTAATGAATATCAAAGTTTTAATAAATAAAATAATACAAATGGAATATATAAATAATACCTTTTTAGGAATTTAAAATTATTTCTTGTATTTATAAAACTTTTACTTAAAATATTTGATGTAGAAATAATATTAAAAAAATGAATATTTCTTTTTTTAATTAAAAACATTTTTAATATCCTTTTCTTAAAAATTTTTTTTTCCCCATTAATTATATTATTTTTTATTTTATAAGTTACATTATACTTAAAAATAAAAATAAACAAAAAATACTCATATACAGAATTTTTTTTTACTTTCGAATTTTATGAAAGTTTAAAAAAAAAAAAAAAAAAATACTAAAAAGGCTTCTTTAATTTATAACACAAACATTATAAAAAAAAAGATATTTTCAATAGAATATTTTTTTTATCCCTTAATGGAAAAGTTGAAAAAAAATTTTATCTTTTAAAAAAGAAAATTGCTCGTAGCTTTAAATATAAATTAAAAGAATTGTAAAAAAAAAAAAAAAAAATATATATTTTTTTATTATATGCATAAGATTAATAATTTTTTTTTTTTAATTTATATTCAATATATATATTTACTTTGGTAATAAAAAAAAATTAATGCGTCTTTTTAAGAATTTCTTTAAAAAAAAAAATAAAAAAAAAAAAAAATTAAATAAAAATAAAATAAAAATTTGAGGAAAAAACAAATAAAACATAAATAAAAACAAATAAGGAATTATATAGAAAAAAGTAAATTAAATAAATATAAGGATAAAATTATTATGAAACCATATATGAAAAATTATGCATCAAAATTTCATTATATTTAAGAATCTTTAAAATATATATAATCTACAACTCAACATGTATAAAAAATATATATATATGTATATATATAATTCTTTTTATAAATGTGTAATTTTTGTTAATTATAAGAAATTCCTTACGCTTTTTTTAAATTTAACTTAAAAATTATAAATTACTGAATACAAGCAACTTATTTATCATTTTTATTTAATTTTTTTTTTTTTTAAATGTATATATAAAAAATATAAATTTTAATATAGACTAAAATATAAATGTATAAAAAATAATAAATATAGGAAAAAAAAAAAAAAAAAAAAA